TTTTAAAAATGTGCATTTGTGTACTGGCTTCTAACCTCAATCAAATTACTTCAAATATTTTTGAGGTACAGTGTTGATTAGTAATGCTTAATTCGAAGAGATATGTCAATTTGCATATCATAGTTATTTCACATTTTAAAGTTCTGAACAAATATGATCTGATCCATTTTGCGATCTTTTGAAAGAAACAAAGGCAACAAAATGTCGCTTTTTGTGTCATACCTCTTGTGGATTGACATAGGAATAGTCTTAATGATGATGGAGGGGTCTTTTTGTGCAAGGACCATTGTATTCTCCTAACAGTCAAATCATTGACATTCCTTCTGAAGGACGGGTTGCGACTTTGATACATTCGGCAAATCATAGTCCTGCCCTGCGTGAAACGATCGTTGGGACGTAGCCCTCAATCGAGAGACTGGGTATAATATCTATGCCCCACAGTGCCATCTAGGCTGTACATACGTATGTTGTGGTTTACGCTTGACGTTTATTTAAATCTAAGACTTTTGAGCTACATGAGCTACATGTAAAGCAGGGTCTGGTTGTTTGGATTTATACGTATTTATATTATCCATTAAGAAAGTATAAATTCCATTAATTTTGATCGTATTACCAATATTTCCCCTGCTATATGTAAATGCAATGTAAACAGTGTTATCGTGACAGTTTTTTAAACATTATAATTATTATGTTTATTTTCTCCTTCTGTACTAAATAGTCAACTGTAAAAGGCGGGTATAAGCTCTTTTTGGATAAATATTCATGAACATAGATTTCTGTGACATCACCTTATGGTACTACTTAATGATACTTAATACTGTTTTCCGGTACAGGATCCGTTAGGCACCTCTTCACCAGACTCGATTAAATCAATTTTAGCAAAGCTCATATCGTTGACTTCCGTTTTTACCAGCTTTGTAGCCGTCATAATTTTTATCTTCATTATTTCCAGTACTTGTCTAATCAGTTTTTGAACGTATTTATTGATTGTACATTTATTATGTATTCAAGAAATTTATTCCAGTTCTTAGCAATTCTTACTGTAAAATTAGTTTTCCTTAAATTTCTATAGAACTTCAGATGTTATACTTCGTGTTTACAAATTCATATGTGTCTATCATGTCTGCCTTCTTCCACCTGTAATCCTCAGCTGTAATCCTCACCTGTTATCTAATCTTGGTTGTTTTATTTTATTTTTTATTTTTTTAGAATAGTTTAATTTCTCTTAACGAGGGTTGAACTTTGTTGTCCCCTTCACATGTGTACACTTTCTGTCCTCTTCACATGTGAACACTTTCTGTCCTCTTCACATGTGTATACTTTCTGTCCTCTTCACATGTGTACACTTTCTGTCCTCTTCACATGTGTACATTTTCAACCTTTTTTACCTAGATAACTCTGTATCACTTTATTTTTTTTAACTTTACTAATAGACTTAATAGTTAATAGAATATACTCCTCTATTTCCCTGCACTAGCAATATCCAAATGTTTACACTTTTCTGGATGGAACGTTAGTAGCCAGCGGTTCTTTTCACAAAAAATCTTAAGAGTAAACATACATACACATTTCAGTATAACTTACGATCAATTTTAATCGTAAGATTTTTTGTGAAAAAAGTCGCTGGTATTTCTCCAAGTTTCCATTTTCCTTTAAAATGCTTTCATCATTTTCGTTCTTGATTAGTCTCAAACATTTTGTATACCGTAACTCTGCAAATAAATATGCTACTTAGTTGACCTCTCCTTCTAAGTCAGCTGTATGCAAGACAACCAGTACTAGTAGGGAATACCGCACAACGACTTATGGTATTCCAGAAGTAACTTCTTTCCATTGAGAATTCTCCCCATGTACTGTCACTTTTGGTTGTCTACCAACTAGTAACTCTTTAATCCATACCTTAATTGAGATGAATTTATAAATATAATTGGATGTTGTTTGGGAAGTGGTTAACAATTAAAGTACGGACATCATACGATCACGGTTTTATTATATAAATACAAACATATTAAACCTTACAAAAGGCTTTTATGCATTTTTAAAATAACTTTATGGTAAGAATCAGGGGAGGTCTAAAGAAGTTTGATGTAAAGCAAATATTAAACTCCACACTATATATTTAAGTTGAATTATAGTACGGCTATAAATGAATCTTGTTATTGGTGGATAAAAAAAATATGAGACGATATTCTCATATATGAAATTGGTAAAGTATTCACATCTTTCAACAGCAAGTTATGATTTATTTTATAATAACAGTTCATGTAAAATGGTTCTATGCTGCGATAGTTTGACAATTTAAAATACGTACTATCTTCTGACAAATATGGCAGATTTCAATTAAATTTAATCATGAGACTCTTTGACAGTTGTTTCTGTTTTTCACATCGAGCATTAGCATTCAACCTATGCATGTGGTTTCCTTAGCTTGATTCCCTTGCGAGCGAACACATTTTGACCATGCTTTGTAAATTATGTGCCATCTTATATTTCCTTGCTCAATTAAGTGTTCGTCAATTGTTAGCTGTACTATATGCATTATTTCATTATTTATTTCACATTGAAGACAATCGGACTAAACAGGAAAAAACGGATGTTTTTGAGCAGGTAACGTGTTAAATATCACCATACTTTGCACCAGTACCAATTAAAACTGTCTTGACCATGTGTTGTTCGTTTAGTTTGTCTATGGTTGTAAGTCCATTTTCTTGGAGCAGTTGGGTGTTGTGGTTGGTTTTGTATGTTGAACTGTCCAATAGTTTTGATATTTTCGGTTGTCCTTTTCATGTATTTAAAAACAAGAAAAAACACATTTAACGTAAAAATAGATATTGTTGATAGTTGAATTCAAAATCACCGGACAAAACTTAGAATTTTGAAAATCAACACCATAAGTCGAATAAAAACACACAACACTATGAGAAAAAAAGACTACAAAAAGACAAACAAAATAACAAGAAAAAATAAGTACTTTGGAATTTTTTCGATTACAATAGTGTGTGATTTTTTTTTTTTAGATATTTCTAAGAAATAATTAGGTGCTTAAAATCTGTCGTGATCGCGGCCTTAAAAAAATGTTTCACTTCTGTTACTTTGTAGATTAGATGAACACTTTCCCACCTATCCCTTTTCTTTATGTGTATTGTTTGTTTTGTTCTGATACATATCATCCTATTTGACAATTTAGACTCTAAATACAGAATTGTACTTAACACAAAATAGCAAAAAGTGTCTGATAACGCGATCATAAACAATGAGTAATAGAAAAAGACTGACAACAACATGAACGAAAAAAAAAAATATATGCATGTAACCAACTACAGTGACCCTAGCCGCGTTACTCCTGTTAAAATCCGTTAATGAGCAATGAACGATAACATGGCATGATTTAGTTCGAATTGGTAAATTCTCTTACTTACCTTAAGATGCAATTACCAAATAATCAGTTATCGGTAAATGTATATTCTCTTACCCTTATTCATACCCGAATGGGAAATTATGAACTGAAAACAAAATTAGGGATAAACATGCCTTTAATGTGTATATAGAAACAGCACAGATAATGTAACCAAAGCAAGAGCAACATGAACCTCTTACTTAGGTGAAACTAGTATAGTATTAACTGGGAATATAAACGTCATAGCAATGTGATGGTGGATGTTTACCGCTGGGATGAGTTTTGTCATTTATTTATCTGATTTCAGTTATTTTCCTTCTTGAAAAGTTTTTCAAATGTTGTTGGACTTAGCAAGAGCTAGTAAAAAATGACACTTTTGAAATGGGTATAGATATATACACTACAGATAAACTTTATTGATATTCAGTTAATTTTACCTGAAAGCAAAATCATCCCTGGGCTTTACCACATAAAATGGGAAAGTTCTAGATCTAAATATCTTTTGTCGTAAAGTAAAGTTCTCAGCCGACCCTCATTGAATAAGCTAGACAAGACCGATAGTGATGTCATTTGATATTTTTCCAAAATGTATTTATTTATCCACCTTATCTGAAAACATATGATTATAGTTTCACGTAACTTTAAAGAAAAGAGAGAGAGAAGAAACCAAGGGGCATTAAATATTAGTTTTTTAGGATAAGGACCTTCCATCATTTTGTAAGATTTGTATAGAGGAAAAGAAAAATACACAAAATGAAGTTTTAATGTTAACATAACATCAATTTTGTAAGGAAATAAAGTTTCTTTCTTTCTCTCGTTAACCTGTATAGTGATGGGGTCGATTTGTAAAACGAATGCGTATATTTGAAATAGTTAATATGTTGTCTAATCTTTTGGCGATTTAAAATTAACGACGGTAAAGCCATGCCTATTGTTGAATACCAGATATGATGAATGAAGGGAGATTAAGGTATAATAATTGATTTCTAGCTTTATTTTCTCTGTCAGACATTAAGCTTATGGCCAAGAGCAAGACGAGGAGTGCCATATGCGGAGCAGGATATTATTAATCTTACGAAGCACACGTGATATTCCATGGTTTTTTTTTTGTGTTGTTCGTGTTGCTGAGGTTTTAGTCTGATATGTAGTGTAGTGTTGTGTATACTGTTGTTTGATTTTGTCGTCGGGTTTCATTTCTTCGACTTTATATTTTTGGCCTCTTTGTTTTCTTTTCTTGATTTTGTTTTGTGATCAAAATAATGTGTTGATAGGTTAAACATTTGAGTTACAATAGATTGAAGTAAATGATGTTACCGTTTGTAATTTCATATTAGTCGTTTCAAATAGATGACACAGTGTCTATTAAAATGTGAGAAAGATCGAGGTTAATTAAGTCACCTTAATCCTTTGTACCTACCTGGGAAATCCTCAAGGACTTTTAATAAGACGAATTTTTATATAGTTGACATAATGTGTCTACATGTTTTGTATGCGTGTCAATGTGCCATAATACCATTTTTCCATTTATCAAGTAAACCACATATTTCACACACACTATAAGATAGGAAAAATTTCACATTTTTACATGACAGATTACGAAATATATTAATTCATTTCTCTTGTTTATTTTATTTCCTTATGATACTGATGTGTAGTAAAGGTAGGTGTAACTTCTATCTTTATTTTTTGTTTTTGTTTACAAGTATAGTTAAACACTATCTCAGAATAATAGTTTCAATCCTTTCTCAATGATAATTGACAAATTATTGATTTATACTAAACTCAATCAAAATTTTTGCTATCTTTTGTCGAACGATCTTATTCAATATCGTCAACGAAACATTACTCTATGCACAACAGGTAGGCAAATTTTATAACTATGTATGTATTTACCGTAAAAAGAAAAGATAAATTTTACTTCTTTATTCAAATTATCGAATTGTCGCACCATAAAAAATATCGTTTTCTTGAAGGTAAAACTAAACTATAGTGCATTGATGTTTTGAGACAATATATACGTGTTCTCTTCATACTGCAAATCTTTAAACTGTTCAAAATGAAATTCTTTGGGTAAAATTAAACTGTATTTTTTCATATCGTCATAGATAAAAAAAAAAAAAAAACAAAAAAAAAAGCACCTCTACGGAAGCACATAACAAACGTCGCAATCAATGCTTTATTGGGTCCGTTACTATACGGCCCATGCATTTTGATTGCGCAAATAGCAAAGATACAGTATAAAAAAGACTTTTGAGTACTGATTATACTTTTTTTTTATCTTACGTAAGGGATGTCATTTATGTTTATTAGACAAGAGAATAACATATCCTATGTATACCATAATAAGGAATTAGTAGCTATAGAATCAATAGCTGAGCTATGAGCTATAGTTGTACTTTCCACTTGAATCTGTTATGAACACCTGCTTCGAAAAGACAATCTTAACTCTTGTTATAGTCTGTCAGCTTTTCTGATAATTTCATTATATTTGTACATGATTTTTCCACATTTATTGCTGTACCGCTGTTATCTTATTTTGTTTATATGAAAGAAAAGATATCCACCAACCCAAGGTCATTCATAATTAAGTATCCACCAACCCAAGGTCATTCATAATTAAGTATCCACCAACCCAAGGTCATTCATAATTAAGTATCCACCAACCCAAGGTCATTCATAATTAAGTATCCACCAATCCAAGGTCATTCATAATTAAGTATCCACCAACCCAAGGTCATTCATAATTAAGTCTAAAGGTTAACGTACAATTCTTCAACAATAGGTTATTTATATAGTATATCAATATTGATAGTTATTGTAATTTTGTAGACTGTTGGATGTCTTTCGTTTTTTTTTTGTGTTTTTTTTTTTTGCCATGGATTTGTCTGTTTTTTGTCTACATATAATTTTTGATTGCCCCATTTGGTAGGCACTGTTTTCGTTATAATCACCTTATGATCATCAATCACGCCAATTACTAAACTTAAGTGTCCAGGTTATATAAAAAAATAAATAATCATTTCATTATTGTCTTATTAAATGTTTACAGCAATCAACATTTGAGAACAAAAAATATATTCAATGTTCAATGTTGTTGTTTTTTTTTTTTTTTTTGCATAACAACTTCTATTTTATAATTGTTAACTTCATGTACATAGAATAATAGCAGCCTGTCGTACAATACGTTCTGTTTGTATGTCTATTATCAGATTGGGTGTCCATCCGTCTCTACTTAATCCAATCACATGTAGTAAAATAATTGTCCTGCTATGTTATAGCAAAGGCCTGTATGGATGTGAATTGTGGAACAACTTGACTAAACACGAGCTACTTTTACTTGAACGACCGCATCGGTGTATTTGCAAATACGTACAAGGTTTACTTAAATTGACCAGAACTGACAAGTGCACTTCATTGCTAGGATGGATTCCTATTGAAAGTATTATTGACATTAGCAAGTTGTTATTCTTTGGAAGGCTGTACAATATGCCATCGAATATTTGCCGAAAAACGTCCTTATGTCAAGACTTTTGATGGTTTACCATAAATGTACTGAAAATAACGTTGGCTTTGTAAATGATGTCATCCAGATTATGCAGAAATATGATTTAATTGGCCATATCGAAAAACTATTACCGACGAGCTACTTTCCTGTGCAAAATTAATGGAAATCGATGGTCAAAAAACGTATATACGAGTATGAAGAGAAATTTCTCAAACAACGCCTAAATTGTGATCGTGACTTCGAATATTTTAAACTATTTCATAACTCCATTGATCCACATCGTGCTTGGACTATCGTGCCCCAGTACCCATCTTTGAAGTTTCAAGCACAATTTTTCATATTTCTGTGTGCTCTGGTTATACCAAACGAACCTGATGCGGAATTACTGTTATGCCATAAGTGTGGTTTTTTCTATGACAATGCAATTATACACATTTTAATACAATGCTGTAGTGTGTCGACAACAAGAGACTTATTTTGGATAGATCTAATTAATATTGGACCCATTGAGTTTAGCACAATACTCCATGCTATGGAAGACATACATTTGACACTTACTCTGCTGTCATGTCACAGTGACAAATTTTTCCCTCTTGAAAAATCAGATGCAGACAGTTTCACGTACTCGTGTGTAAAGTTTATCTATAGGTTATACAAGGAATATGACAGTTAATATGATATTTATCACAACTAAAATATCTAAATAGACATCAATTGAATTATATGAACATTTACTTATTTAATCTATTTATTCAATTATCTATTTAATTACTTATTAAGTTAAATATTTATTATTTATTTATTTATTTATTTATTTATTTATTTATTTATTTATTTATTTATTTATTCCTTTATTTTATTCCTTTATTTTATTCAATTCTTTATTTATATTCTCATTATTAACATTGTAGCTTTGTATTATACTATAATTTGTACTTATATTCATGTATATTAATACTCTCCCAAAGGAGGATAATATAAAAGAAATAAATAATCATTTCATTATTGTCTCTGACATTAAATGTTTACAGCAATCAACATTTGAGAACAAAAATATGTTCACTGTTTTTTTTTTGTTTTTTTTTTTGCATAACAACTACTATTTTATAATTGTTAACTACATGTACAAATGTACATAGAAGAATGGGAATTCATAAACTTGTATCATTCTGTAAGTTTTATTTACCACTATTTCATTCATTCATCGACGTTATAAACTATAATATATATATTCTTATATTATTGGGCGTTAAACCACAAAACAATCAATCAATTATATTTTTTTTCAAACCATTATTTCTAACGAATATATCGGCACAGGATCAGCCAATACATCACATAGTTTTAACCGTAAATCAATTTGAAGACAAATAGTTTATATATCGTTAAATAAAGACAGTATTTTGCTCTAATATGCCACATAATGTGTTACAAATGACTTTGTCAAAGAAACATTAAATACTTAAGATGTTGATTTTTAAAGATAATTATCTATTCGAAGTTTAATGCCGCTATATAATGTTCCTCCTATTGAATTTTGTTTTATAATAGTGTCCAATATCAAAGATTTTTTTTTCTGAAGAGTTTTGTTTTCTTCTAAAATATTGATACATTCAAATCAAATACAATTTACCTGACAACTTGTAATTATTGTTTGCTAACTTAAATGCCAAATACATGAAGCATTGATAAGATCTGCAGTTCATGTGAATAACTTCCAGGTTTTAAATAGACCTCATTGGATGTACTACAATACCTCCATCATATGTTTAAAACGTTGGAGATTGAATTTCTTAGTTTGAATTTTTCAACATCCCATATTTTTGACGAATCTGTCGACATATGATCAATCAATATATCAAATAGTTTTGACTGAAAATCAATAGCAAGAGAAATGATTTTTTTTTATATCTTACATTATATGTAACAGATGATTTTGTTGAAACAGATTAAATAATTACATAATGATTTAGAGTGATATTCATCTATTTTAAGTTGGCAGTTGTTTATGTTTGGATATTGAGTATGCCTAGTGAGGTGAATGGCGGATAATACATGACATGCCTTTGAAGTTTACATGCTATTTTTATATATTGTTTCATTGTAATTATCCTAATGATAACATGCTTCAGAATATTGTATACCTTTTAGAACACATGAGATGACCCCGGTGCTTGGTGTGGTTCGTGTTGTTCAGTCTTCAGTTTTTTGTGTTGTGTTTTACATACTGTTATTTGTCTTTTAATCGTTTTTCTTATCATGCCATGGCATTGTCAGTTTGGTTTCGATTTATGAGTTTGAATATTCATTCGTTGTTTTTTTTAAGAACTCTCTGAGTGGTTTATATGGTGTTTTAAGACGAAATGTCTGTCCTTATCCAATTTCTCAATTTTCGTCATTATTAACCTACCTTGTAGAGCCTAACGTTTATAGTACTTGTTAATTTGTTTTTGTCCTGAAAATATGTAGAATATTCGCCAACGTACGTTAAATATGCAATTTTAAATCAAACTGAATCGATCTTTTCCCTAAAACCTACACAATTTACTTACAGCTTGTTATTATATATAGCTCACTAGTGCCTAATACATTTACTAGATCTGCAGTTCATGTGAACAACTTTCGAGTTCCACATGTATAATAAATTTTGAGAAGAACTCATATACCTCCAATATTCGTTAATAACGCGGCACATGTTTCTAAAGCAATGTTTTTATTTTGAAGACCGCATACATCTGCAGTATACTTCGACATAAGATCAATCAAGTGATGCATCAAACTGGTTTAACTGAAAATCAGTTGGAAGAGAAATAACATTTTTTGTAGCTTGTTCTGTACTTGTTGATATTTTATTCTTAGCAGAATATTTTTTTGGGGTTGGAGGCCGGGGGGAGGAGGGGGAGGGGTTATGTAGCATTCTAAGTATGGTGACTAATGATCAGATGATCTGCTTATTACATGCCTTCGTTGTTGTCATGCTAGATAGTTAGAAATCTCACATAATCATTTTACAGTAATACATGGTCGTATATTTTTTTACTAGTCACTACTTTTAATGTTCTATTTTCACAACTCTTAAATACTTGATCGAGATGTCCTGCAGATACCTATGTGAACGGTATTTTTTTCAGTTAGTCAGTGCATTACCAGTAAAC